AGCCGCGGGCGTGCACTGGTACTCGCGGCTGCTCTACCAAATAGGCACCTGGCTTCTGGGCAGCGAGGCCCTGCACCCGCTCGGCATGGCCGCCACGTCCAGCTGAGCCCGGGGCGCGCGGGCCGGGCCCGGGGGAGCCGCGGCACCGGCGAGAGACGCACGGAGAAAGCGCACGGAACGAGACTCGCCATGATAATAATTAATGATAATAATAAAGTAGGACAGTCCAAAGTAGACTATAAGGAAACAAAGACCCCGGGAAGTTTTGTTGTTGCGTTTAGTTTATATATATTTTTTGAATTTTTTGGTTATTGTTTTATTTTGGTTATTTTTTCTCCTCTCCTGGCTATTTATTTGTTTGGTATGAATAGATGTTTTAAATAATATGAACCGGACCTTCAAGAGCCTTAAATAGTTTGTTTCTTGGATAATTTATTATTCTCACGTGGACCGTACTCACAGGGGGAGATTATTTTGTGCGGCCAAGCGACCTGCCCAGAGTCTATTTTTCTACGTCCCTCGCCCTGTCCGGAAGCAAACCCTGGACTGCGCGTTCCGCCTTGGCCCCGCTCCTGCTTTTCCGCAAGCGTAAACGCAGACGTGCTTCGTGGGGGTCCACAAATTATATTTTTATACACAGAATTGTAAATTAGATTTTTGAGAGATCAATACTTAACTGAATTACATTTCATTTTTTGAAATAGTGTAAAATATGAAAATATATTATTTTAATTTAACTAGTTTCCAGTGTCACAGCCAGCTCCTGTACCGCGTTTCTGCTTTAGTCTTTGCTTTGTAATCACCATTTTGGCCACATTCTGGAAGCCAAGACTGTTACACACGCACACACACACATATTTTTTTTTTTTGACAAACTGGAAGAACTCTGTTATTTTTAACTTCAAAGAATTTATTAGAAACTATTTTTTAAAAGTGCACATAGTGATGAGCCCACAAGGATGGAGCCTGTAGTTTGTACAGAGAAAAACAAAGGATGTTTTTGCATTAATTAATTGAGAAATAACTGCTGTACATTTACTAAAATGTATTTTTGAATATTTTGTAATAGTTTTATAGAAATAAAATGTGCCACGCACAGACTGGTTAGTATATAATAACTAAGAACTTCTGTCGCAGCCCTTTTTCTTTTCTTTTTTGGCTTCTCTGTTTGGGACGCCCGGTGCTGATGGGCGTCCCAGTGTTCTGTTCAGATGTGTTGCTTATACTGTGAATTCAGATTGACTTACGTAGGTAACCAAAGTAGGTAAACAATCAACTTGTTTATTCTCGTCACTGGAGAAACCTCAGCTCCGTTAGTATTTATTGTGTGAAGTTCTTCCTACACTCCCAAAGTTTGGGGGTGCGGTACGTGGGGAGCGTTCTGTCCCCCACTGCCACTCCTTCACTGGCAAAGCCTAAGTTGTTGGCGAGAGGAGGTGGCCCTGGGGGCCCCGAGCACTTCCTCCAGGGCTCACTGTGTGATTGTTGGGTGGACCTCCTGCCTGTCGCTGGTCTTGCTGTCTCTGATCTGTAGGGAGGAGGTCGTTGCTGCTTTCTGAGGTCCTTTTGTTGTGTCCTTTCCAGAAAGGGTGTCCCAGAGGAGAGGGCCAGGTGATCTTCTCTGAACCTCCCACCCTCTTCTCGTGAGGCTTCCCCCGAGTCCGAGTGGCAAGCCCACTGTGGAACGTGCATTCATCCTGCTCCTTGTGGGCCAGTCGCTGGAATGTCAGGGCTGCCAGGGTCCTTGGGCCACGCTGGTGTCTCCAAGTCCAATTTGTCTGTCTGGTGTGGTTGTTAGGGCACAGCCCTACTTGAGTGTGCACCCAGTGGTTGGCGCCTGATGTCGGCTGAGTCGGGAGAAGCTTCCTCCAAGCTTCGTGCTGCCTCTCAGGTTTGGCCATGAGGGTCTCAGTCCTCAGCCATCATCGGGGCTAGGCGCTGGACCACTCCTGTTTTTTGGCTCGTTGAAGGTGACTGTCATGCTTCATGCTTTGGCCTGCAGTATCTGAGCAGGCTGGGCTTTGAAGGGCCAAGATATATGGGCTTGGGGCCTGCTAGGAGGTTAAGCCTGCGTGGGAGGAGGTCCAGGTTTAGGGAGCAGGATGGAACAGACCTCAGTCCTACCCGCGTGCTGGCTCCTGAGGCTGGGCCTGTGTGGCGTCCGCAGTGAGAAACGCTGCTGCCTGAGGGGCTTCTGTGCTAAGGGTGTGGCTGCGAGTGGCCTTCCCAGGAAGCTGTGTGCCCAGGTGGATGGCGCTGGGCAGGTGGCTTGGCCTCTGTGTCCTGCGGCAGGGCCGGGCTCTCCAGGCAGGCACGGTCCTCAGTTTCTGTCTGTAAAAGACTTTGCTCTGGTCTTCCAGGTGGTTAGCAGGTCCGAGGCTGGTGCTGACAGTCGCGGGGGGAGTCTGGTTCTAAGTTGGTCAACAGGCGCACCAGCCCCTCTGGCTGTGCCGAGCCCCCTGACGGATGAGCGTGCGGCCCAGTGGTCAGAGAGAGGAGTCGGGCGCTAACCAAGCCCACAGGTGCGTACGGCGCAGTGCGGTGCTGCTGGCGGTGAGTGAGCGCACCTTGCGGCACAGCTTCCCCGAGAAGGAGCACCAGGCTCCTAGGTGCCGGCCCCTGCCCTCCTGGGCCCTCTTTTCGAGATCTTTCCACAGCTTTCTATTACGAATTCCCCTTTTCACAGGCGAGGAAAGGAAGCCACTGCGTAGAGAAACTAAATACAGGGCGTGGAGACGGTGCACCTCTCCCCCGATGGGGCACCCACTCCTCATCCTCGGGGCTGACGGTGCCAAGAGTTTGTGCAAAATGTATGCATGGTGGTCGCTGCCAGCCCCCTATGACTAAATGCATATCTACTCCTGTCAAAAATGTGTGTCAGAATGTACTTGAAACTGTTATCTTGTGCTTTATTGTTTGAATAATTAAAGAAATTACAGAGACTTTCTGCAATGTCTGTTATGTGGCAGAATTCCTATCCCATACTGTCATCTGCGTGTCCCGAGCAATGAGGAAGAAACGTCTGGTTGGGGGTGCAGGCTCGGACCTCTCCACGGGCGGGACTTGGGCTGTGGGGGTTTTCACCTGGGCCCAGGGCTCACCTGTCTGATGGATTTGACGGAGGTCCCCTCTGCGGGTTGAGTCCCCGTTCTGTCAGCATCCCCCGCACGGGAAACATGGGGCGGACACGCAAGAACGCTGGTGACACGTAGGATTTGCCAAGAAGGCAACATGGCGCCTGCCGGGGAGGCGAGCAGGTGTCGGAGGAGCTAGGGCTTCTTCGGGGCTCTCTGAGGACGAAGAAAAGCTGTCTGCCCACCCTTCCACGCGCACGATCCGTTCTCGGGGGTCGAGAAGCCCAGGGAAGTGACTTCCATATGAGTACTTCGGAACAAATCACAGAACGCGCCCTGAGACGTACCTTTGGCGGACGCTCGGCCCGGCGTGTTCCGGGACAGGCGTGGGTGAGTTCCGGCCTCCAGGACTAACCTTGCCCAGGGCCCGTTTTCACACAGCCCACGAGCTGAGATTGTGTCGTACATTTTTCAATGTTTGAAAACAAAAATTTCCAAAGAATAGTAATATATCCTGACACATGAAAATTATAGAAACTCAAATTTCAGTGGCCATCCCTAAAGTTCCATTGGAACACGCCGGGCTCGTTCACTCGAGGGTCATCTGGGCGGCCTGTGCCTGAGGTCGCAGAGTAGCTGCGGCTGCGCCCGTCTGGCCTGCAGTGCCTGGGATGCCCACTCTCTGGCTCTGTGCAGAGGAAGCTTGCCGGCCTTCTTTCTGGGGCTAGGAATTGAAATCAGTCTTGGCGCTGGGGGCCAGGGGCTGGGGAAGGAGCTGGAACAGCGGGCTGTTGACCATTTCGGCACGTTTTCCATCTAGAATTCAAAGGATGGCCCACTGAGAGCCATAGGGGACCTCCAGGAGGCTAATGGATCCAGGAAGACCCATGGGCAGCCAGCTCCACCTGGGTGGGGGGGTGACAGTAAGCTTTCACGCTGACCCGGTGTGGGCTACCTGAGAAGAACTCCTGTGTGGGAGAGGCCTGGACCCCGGGAGACACAAATGCGGTTACAGGGAGCCACGCAGCGTTTACTCCCCTGGTCTGTGAAAATCAGCCCACAGTGAGAACATAGGAAGTCTGGATTTGGAGATAACTTTCTTTTCTTCTTTGAGCTTGATTTGCTCAAATTAAGGAAAGGAATTAGTAATCCACATTATACTGTACAAACGGGCGCTGGTTCCCATTAAAAGGAGGCTTGCAAACTGCTATGGAAGGTTCCGTTTCAATGACTTCCTTGGTTTTCAGGATGAAGGCAGCTGTGCATCCAGACGGGGGAAACTGGTTTAAAAGACGTTGAGAAATTGGAAAACGGAAGATCAATTAGAAGAGATATTTTGCCAGAAATCAAAGGGAAAACAATCGCCCCACACACCAGAACTCAATTCCTAGGTGGAATCCTCCCGCCCGGGTGAGGGCCTACGTGTTGGCTTCCTGGGGAAACCACGCCCCACCCCTGGACGCCAGCCCCATCCCAGCTGGGAAATTTCCTTCCTTCAGAGCTAGGCATTGCCCACGGGTTCACTTCCAGAGCCTGCAGTCCTAAGGCAGCAACACAAACCCTCTGTCTCTGCCAGACCAGCCAAGGCCCCAGGCCAGGCCTGTCCACCTGCCGGCCCAGGTCATCCCAGTCCCAGCCGCAGCCCCCAGCCAGGACTCTGCCCGTCTCCCCAGCTTGGCGCTGCCCATCCGGCAGGCAGGACCCAACAGAGCCGGCGCTCAGCGGGCAGGGGGTGGGAGGCTGGGAGGGGCTGTGGAAATTTGGTAACTGCCATTTCAGAAAGACCATCTGAGCAGTCACTCAAAACGGGGAACCAAGGCACTGTTGCACCTGCTTGTGTCTGCTCCATGGAGTATATTTGTTCTTCCTGCTGTTCGTGATCTCTAGGGCCTGGGGCCTCTGAGGGTGAAGTGAGCCTGGGCCATCGCCCGGGCCCTGTCCCAAAGGTTCCCACTAGGGCATCCTCAGGCTGGCTCCCTCCAGGGCTGTGCTGCAGAGCCCCCGTTCCACGCGGGGAGGGCAGCGGCTGCCC